TTCCAGTTATTCAAATCAAAGAGAAAACAAAAAAAGAGAATTGCATATTGTAGCATGTTAACAAGTGGGATGCACACTGAAATCAAAAGATGTAGCCAAAAGCACAATCAGAGACAAATTCATAACCTTAATTGCTTTGATGTTTACATAACAAAGTATGGTGGTTACATATTTATCACTTAAGTTAGAGCAATCAAACATTCTTAAGAAAAATAGCATGAAGCATTTTTTTTTTAATACGGAGAGAAACAATGGAATTATATAAGGGGAAACTTCCAGTTTACAACAAGATAGCCAAGTAGCAAGTGCTATTTCCTAGCTATATTTAATTCTATTTTGGAGATGCAAAAAGGGAGTGCGGGGGCAGGGGAGGGAGAGAAGAAGAAAACTGGTGGGTTTCATTAATTAACAATAAAGCTTGTGAGAAATTCTTAGAGGCAAAACATAGTTGTTTTCAGGGGTATTTGAAAAATGGCGTCTGAAGCAGGATAATGGAAAATGGGAAACTGGGGATAGCAATCTAACCACATTTTCGTCACTCCATGTAGACTGGGTAAGCCTGAATCTGCAGTTAAATTAGGAACAGTCTATTCCACCACAGTGAATACAGCTCAAGCCTGCTGGTCACTGAGTTCATCTTTGGGTCATGCAGGTGGAATGTCTGATGCTGTGTGGCAGGAAAACAGTTACACAGGGTCGCTGTGACTTTATATCAGGGCAGAAAAACGTATAGGTGAGCCAGAATGAAGCTTTTGTAAAATTAAACCTATGTATCTCAAAATGTAATGCCATCTTGTCGAAGCCTACTGGTAATGGCCCACAGGACAGAGCAGAACGGCCCCCAGAGTTTCCAAGACTTAACTCTTCCTGGGAGTAAGAATCCCATCTTCTGTGGAGCAGCTGGCGGTTTCAAAGTGCCGGCCTGGCGCTTAGTAGCCCAAGTCATACCCACTATGCCACTTTAATTAGTACAAGAGAGAGGGGGAGGGGAGACAGGTGAGAGTAGTCTATGTTCTGTGATTATTATTTTGCTAGATGGCAAAGGCAAAGTAATCGATATGCTTTGTACAATTGACAGGGAAAAGTAACCCAGGTATTAGAATTAAAATTTATAACATTTACGCAGCATATGAAATGTTGGCATATCTAACGAACATTAGCTCAAAAAGGAAATAGGCAGGATGAAAACTTGGAAAGCAATACTATGAAATCTGATGGCAGATGTTCAGTTCTCGTATGAAAGCTATTTATGTAAATGTAAATGGACTAAACTCACCAATTAACTGACAAGCATGTTAATATACAAGTAATATTCAGAAATAGGCTGACTAAAGACACGCCCTTGGACAAAATGACAGAGTAGCTGAAGAGTGGGGAAAAGAGATGCTAGGAAGTCAATATGAAGTAAAACAAAATCATTGTTCGATTTTTCCTACCAGAAGAAGTAAATTTGGGGGCAAAAATGCATCAGAAGGAATGTGGGCAAGTGCACTCAATCCAGAAGTCATAATTCTTCCCCTAATGTGCAGTTAACAATGTTTTCAACCACACAAATCTCCAAAGAAGAAATAAAAGATGTATAACTGATGATTATTAACAAAGGCTTGTCAGAATTTAAGTAGAGGAAATAAAGTCTAAGCCATGTTATAAAAGAAAACCGTGGGTATTTTTTATATTAATCTAATTTACATATATGAAAACTATAAACTTCACTTCCGAACACAGAAAATATATTATTTTGGCATACACAAGGAATATTAGTGCAAAATTGCTAAATAAATTGAGTTACAAAAGAAGTCTCAAAAATTCTGAACAGTAGATTTCATATATAATGTTTTCTTACTAGCAATAAGTTAGAAGACAATTTTTTAAAATAGCAAATGAGCTTCACATGTCTGTAAAGTAAAAGATACACTGCTAAATAATTCTTAAGCTAGGAGAAAATCTAGAGAGAAATAACTACTAAAAGGCCATGGTACTCTACAAGTATAAAGTGTGGCATATAACTGAAACAGTATCAGAAAAAGACTAAAGCCTTAATATGCTTATCAGCATGTGAATTATTAAAATACCCAAAATTATCTAGGAAAAAAACTAAGAAAAAGACAAAATATCCAAATAAAGGAAAGAATATGAAAAGATAATTCTATATATTAAAATGTTTACAATTACATGATAAAACATGAGATGATAAAATTGCAAACCTAGATGAAATATATGAATTTTTAATAAATACAAAATACCAAAATTGTCCCAAGGAGAAATCAAACACTTGAATGAAGTAATAACTATTATAAAAGGTATTAAAATGCACCCCCACTCAGGTACCAGGCCAGATAGTTTTCTAGGGGAGCAATAACAAGCTCTGCAGGAATAGAAAATTTCTATCTTACACACGTCATTAGATTTCTCTTCCACAAGTACTTCCTGGAAGTCTCTAAATTCTATTGAAGACAATATAAACTACAGAGCAGATTCAATTCATCCAGTCTAGCCAGACTTTCTGCAAAACATAGCTGCATGCTTATCTAACTAATAGAGTGTGTCATAAACATTTTAGAGACTGTCAGAATAAGACTTGAATTAAACACACCTCATAAACTTGGATTAAAGAACCCCTGGGATAAAAATGCCAGTTTTCTAAAAATTAAGTTACTATTTAAAGTAAATACAGTTAAAATTACAAAGAAAATTTTCCAAGGGAATCAATAAGGTGATTTAAAAACTTTCTAAAAGACTAAGTTGCTAAGGAATTTTTGATGAAAAAGGTGGGTGGATCTGATTTATTCTATCAATGTTAGCTCTGACCCATAGCAACCCCATAAAGGGCTTCGGAGGCTAAACATCTTTAGGGAAGCAGACAGCCTCAACTTTCTCCTGAGAGTGGTTGGTGGGTTTGAACGGCCAACCTTGCAATTAACAGGCCAACATGATAGTGCCACACTAATTTTGTAGTTAATCACGCAGATTAATCCAACTCGAGGGAATTGGGTAAGTCAGTATTTATTAAAACTGTTTGTCAACTATTGGGAAAAATTGAATTAGAATTTGTGTTTCCAGGAAGCCTGGTAACCCAGTGCTTATACGTGATCAACTCTTAGCCCCAAAGGTCTGTGGTTCCAACCCATCTACCCCACTGCAGGAGAATAATGTAGCAGTTTGCGTCCACACGGATTTACAGCTTGGGAACCATATGGGCCGGTTTTATGCTGTCATACAAGGTTGCTATGAGTCAAAACTGACTTGAAGGCAAGGCATTCGATTTGCGCTTCACTGCACAAATTGCAGTCCATGTTTGATACCACTCTGGAAAAGATATTTCACTGAATGCCAGGAACTGTTCAAGAACCAAGGGTGCAATGGTGGGTTAAAAACAGAGAAGCTCAGAGTCTAGCGAGAAGAGACAAAATTTGTAGGACCCATAGATGTAATGAAAGTTGGGCTAATGTGCTTTGTCCAAACAGTACAACATATACTTCTGTCCCAAATAATGTCAACATGGAAGAATTGCACTACAGGCTTTTGCAAACGACTTCAACCTCGTGGCTACCACTATTTGCCCAAGTTGAATTGAGAGTTGCAACAATCAAGAGAAGATCTTAAAGAACAGAAGCAGTCTATCCACTGTTTTAGAAAATCCCTATCTCTGAGTCAAATCAGAGCCACAGAGTTATGGAGAGATGGATTCCACCCTTCTCCCCAACTTAGCCACTTCTGAGAGAATACATTTTTTGGTATTTCTGATTTGCTCTTTGGTTTGATCCGGCCTGTTACTATAAAAAGTCTTTGTGAGAAATTGCTGCAAAATAGGTATTGCTACGCCTATTCTAAGGGAATTCTGAGCTGTGGAATCATTCTACGATAGTATATTCTATTGACCTACTATGGTACATCAAAATTAGAAAACTTAAATATAAGAATAATGGATATTATAAATACAATGACAAATTATAAAACTGTCATTTTCAAGGCTGTTATTCATCTATAAGAGAATTCCCTCCTCATGCCCCCCTGCCAACCCCCCTCTGCCAATGGTCAAGTCAATAATAGGCTTGACCACACAGAGTAAGTAGTTTTCAAGCCTCAGTGTTTTAGGCTAAGTTAGGAGAAGTTATAAATAAGGATGAGTTTATTTGCAAGCAACAAAGGAAATTTCCCTAAAAAAGACACTGCTTCGAGTTCAGTTCATCACTGTTTATGTTTTACATGTTGGAAGAGAAAAAAAGAAGGCATTTGTGTCATAAGTTACACTTGCTGACCCCTCAGACTTCAACACTGAACTGACCAGTTTCCCTTGCTTGGCTTTGGCCAACAGGAGCCATTGGTAGAAGAGAGCAGGGGCTGGTAGATATGATTCACTCCCTGCGCCCAGGGTGTAGTACTTTGCAGTGGCTCCGTTCTCTTCCAGGTGCAGATGTTAGGATAACAGATACTGTCTCACCCTCTCTGCCCATTAAGCTAAAAGACAGCAACAATTTCACACTATTGGCTGGTCGGGTACAATTCACCACCCCTTGTAAGTTCTCTTAATCCTGTTAAAAGTCCACTTACTAACTTCGCTTTTATAAATCCCTTTGGGTATCCCATCTGATTCTAACTTGGATTCTTTTTTGGAGGAAAATATTTTTTTAAAGAGCCTTTTTAGAAAAACACACTGCTTTAGAGGAAAGCTTATCACTAGGTACCAGAACTTGGGCAAAAACCTGAATATACAGATTACCTAGACTTTCACAAAAGCTGCATACTGAAGTCAAACCTTGAAATCAAGGGCCAGGCGTGTTATAAGCTGCCACTATGGTAAATAACAGGCATTTGAATAAAAAATTGTAGAATGGCATCTCCTTACATTGTGCCTGGAAGCTTAATGAGATTCAAGGCAATGTGAAATTTAAAAGCTATCTTTTGAAGACTGACTATTCTTACTATATTATTCAAAACAAAAACATATACTTAATGAAGTGGCCAGCAATAGAGAAATGCTTTGCAGATCAACAACTTACCTCTTTGAACTTGTGACTGAGCTTGCTTGTGTCCAAGTCTGATGGAGAAAACACATCCTCATTCTCAGGCAGCTCAAAGACTTCAATGGCCATCTCACTGCCAGGAAGGACTGGCCCTACCTCATCCTCCTCTTCATCAGTGGCATATTCCCCTGTCTGAAAGGAAGGGGATTTCAGAAAGTCTGCTGTCCCTCCCCCAGGAGGTGATAGGTTATTTTAAAATATTTCATAAAAGATAAATAAGAGATGTCACTAACCGCTAAAAGAGTAAGTAGGTGGTTAAGTCAATCATGCCTCATGCAACCAACATTACAAACACGTTAGTGCAAATGTCCAAAGTGACACAGACAAACATAAATGCACTACTAAAAAATTGATTAATAGCATCGACAGCATCTATACTATAGCAAAAAGAGTTACTTTTTCCCCAATATATTTTGTAGTTTTACTAAATTAAATTTTGTTGCTTAGGGAAATAAGTCATTCCTTTTAACTTCTACCTATTGTTTGAATAAGCCTCTCAATGTTGGGAGTAGGGAAGAAAGAAGATGAGATCAAAGGTTCAGAGTTGGAAGGGGCCTTCAAAAGGTTTAATAAAGGAATTCTTCTAGCTTTAGAGTCAATCAGCTTTTTGTTTGTTTGTTTGGTTTGCATTTTAACTATTAGGCTGATTAAGTGGGAACCTAAAGGAAGAACTGAAGATGTATACAGGAAGTCCACACGTGTAATAGGATTTTTCCTGCACAGTACTTGATAAATCTGAGTCCTTTGGGAATGTTTAAAAAACAAGAGTATTTCACATAAAAGTCTAGATAACTTCTCTTGAGAATTTGAAGATAAGGCACTGTGGGGTCATTGCTAGATGCTGACAATTGGCCAGAGTCAATCTACTCTCAGCTGGGCCATGCACTTTCTAACACACCACAACCACACTAACTTCAGTTTACTCAGTCTCCCTATTTTGCAATACCTGTGGATCCCCATCGATATTTGAGTACATGACCCCTGGTCCTCAAAACAAACCTCTTTAACATGAGCAGAAAATAGCTCTCCTTATGGCGGCACCAGGCGGTAAGACTATGCTCGTTTGAAATCTGTTAGAGTATAATTTAAGGATAAATGATTGATTTGCTCTGTTGAGGTAGTGTCCACTGTGTTTAGGTATTACTGGACCTTTATATACAACATGGACAGGAATTCATATTGCCTTTTGAGAAACGTTCATAATAATCTATGAAAAGAATGCTCAGTTATATTTGATTAAGTAGGCTTGACATTTGATTAATTAACATTTTCTTCTTCCTCTGCTTTTAATTCTGCACTATATTTGGAACTGCACTTATTTCTCACACGTAGTCACATTGCCATGTACGCTTCCCTTTCTTAAGTAAAATGATTCTAGATTCCTTAGAACTTTCGTTCTTTTCCTCCATCCCGGTCTTTGTGATTGCCCCCGTTTTGTCTCCAAGTTCCTCACATCTCTCTTAGGTTGTGGAGTCCAAATGATGGCAGGAGGGTGGGCTCCATGGACCATGATGAACAAGCTGCCACAGCACCTTACACATCCTTCTACCCCTCTGAAGACCATGACTATGGCGGCCATGTTTAAGAATAACAAGCCAGGTTTTTCATGAACAGCAGTACTCTTACAAATTAGTTACACATCAGAAGCTCCCCCACCCCCCAAAACAGAAATGCTTTGACTGACATGAACGAGATCTGAGGCCTTCACCTTGATCTCTGATGATTCCACATCTGCAACCCTAGGGCTCTTCAGAATCCAAGTGGTTTTGGAATTGGAAAGGGAAGACAGTGGACGAGTGGGCAATCGGTGACTCCAGACAGCTTCTATTTGTTGGTCCAGCAACACCCAAAAGAACTTAAAAGGACTACATGTTCAGATTTAGTACCCCATTCTGTAGTATTCAATAGATTGGTTATATGCATATTAATATATTTAATAGATATCAGTAATACATGTGTGTATAGTCAACAGGTAGCTTGTAAATCCCAGTAATTTTAATAGTCTTAATCTTAATAATCCAGCTGAGTTATTACGTGGAAAACTTCAAGATGCCTTGCTCACAACTATGACTTAGAGGTATAAAACTGTGTTCATTTTTAATTGGTAATTACAACTAATAGCAAAGCCATACTTCTATTATGAAGCTTCAATATTTATATAACATTTATTTCAAGATCATCAATTGGATAACTGCCTTGAATAACACAGTAATAGCACAAGGTAAACTGAAAATATGACTAAGTCATAACAATGTGGTGCATTTTAAGCATAAGGGTAAATTAACCAATTTGATTTGCTCTTTGCCAGCTTGAAAATAAGATATGTGTTCCCTCTACCTGTGTGAGGGAGTTAATACAAGGTGGCTTCAAAAAGTTTGTGGAAAAGAGAATTAAAAGATTATGAAAGTTTGTCCATGAACCTTTTGAAGCCCCCTCTAATGTACCTAAGATGGTACCTAGCAAGTAACAGGACTTCAAAAACTATTTTTAAAAGAGTCTTTCAAAGAATGCCAATTACAATTCATTGATAATATCTAGAACTTCCTAGGAGATATCAAGAAAATGAGCAGCAAAGATATTTGTAAGAAAGCACTATTCTCACACATACGTTTATTTTGTTCCTCTTTATGGTGAATAATAACATTCAGGATTACACAACACACACACCTTCTTAGTATAGTTTCAAGGAACCCTAGTGGCACTGTCAGGTAAACATTGGGCTGTGAACCACAAAGTCAATCCTTCAAAACAAGGTGCTTAATAAAGACAGGTGAGGCCATCTGCTCCCAGAAATAGCAATGGCCTTGGAAACGCTATGCAGGTCACAATGAGTCAGAACTGACTCAGTGGCAGTTGAGAGGTTAATTTTGGCTCTGTCATCCAATTTAATTATCAAAATTATCCTCCCAAAGGTAAGTTATGAAGAATACTTCTTCATGATTCTTTTACTTTTGAATTAGCTAGTTTCTTCTCTTTCCCAATAGCTGATGAAATCACCTCTCTTCATTAACACGTTTTCTACTTCCAGTTAGCCTTATGAACATGCTGTGCCTTTACTGTTTTGACCCTCTGATATTGTAGTTTTCTGGATAAGGTACTTTCTGGTATCACGACCAGTCTAAATAGACTTTAGAATAAAAGCTCCATTAATTACAGCATCTTATAAACATCTGGAAATCAAAATTACTATTGTACTCTTTATTGAAAATAAAAATCATTTTTATTGTGACTCTGAAATAAAATAAGTGATATGATTGGACTGAACCCGGCATCTATAGAGGAATATAGAAAATGTTGGATCTACACAAATATGGCAAACTCGGAAATCTGAAACCCTGTGTGTAGTTTTATCAATGCCCATACTTACAATAATACACATAATAACAATAATAACAACACCCGTATTTACAATGCAGCTCACCGGCTCTGTCTCTTGGTAAACACACCAGGTGACTAGGAGGAATAAGAGTGTGTGGACCAACTAGCCCCTCGAATGCTTAGGAAAGCCGTGGATATCTAGTTTGGGTTTTAAGAGAGAAAGCGAAGGGTAACCATGGCATTGGTGAGATGGGTAAGTGAGGAGAAAGGAAGACTCTTGGCTTTGGAGTCACTTAGGCCTGGATTCAAATCCTGGCTCTGTGGCCTTCTGCATCTCAGCCTCCTTTCCCGCATGTATAATGCAAGGATAATAAGAGTTCCTTATCACTTTAAATAAAGGATGGCTATAACATTTTAAAAACAGGCCTGGGACTTGGTAGGTGCTTAAAATAAATGAGAAGCTGCAGAATAAAATCAGCTACTGCCGCTGTTGCCGCTTACAATAGATGCTACAATCCCACCCTGGTGAGGCTCACCAACTTGTACTTCACAACCACGCTTTGGCTAAGTCTGCTCATAAATAGCAGGTCCTAGTCAGATGCCTTCGCCTGAATCTTAAGCAAGCTGGTCACTGAAGAAGTAAAACGTTCTCTTCCTCTAAGCCTATTGCTCTCTATCTTGATTTTGATAGACACCAGCATCTACTCCAGTCCAAGAAAATGTTCTTGCCCCTGCCTCCTCACACTCCTCCCCGACATGGCCCCGCGAGTGATCCAAGATGAATATCCCTCTCCATTAACACATCCTATGAAGCAGCTGCCTTTAAGATTGCCTTAATCCACTTCTTTTTGCTGCCAATACGTGCTCTACATGGTCTGTGAAACTTAGCTCTTTTGCTATCAGCCTTCCCCCATCCGCTTCTTTCAGCTATGCGCTCCCTGATGATTTATACCCTGGCTGCTTTATACCTGTAATCCTAGCATGGCCGGCACATTGCTTGGCCTCTGGTAGGGAATGAGCAAATGTGTGCTGGATAAGTTAATACCGCTTGAACCACATCTGCACAGCACAGCAGAGCCTCATCTTCCTGTTAATTCTCAGCTTTCAAGGAAGAAATACAGTGAAGCGCAGCTGCAGCTGGGGCCTCAATGACCCTTTGGGGGATTTTTGCTTGTTGGGACGCTCAACCATTAGCAGTAATTTTGCTGTAGCAATGTTTGCTCTGGTAAATTTGGGGAAACTAAATGGTGCTAATCATAAAAATAGCCTGAATTGTGCAGTTTTTGTTGGAATTTGTTTACTGGATTTGGATTGGTGATGTATATTTTCAGACTCAGTTCGGGGAGAGAATAGAAGAGAACTGCTTTTTCTCTGGAGCCGAAAGACCTCACGCTCATGCTTCAATGTTGCAAACCCCTCTCTCGGTGCCAGCTACCCGGATGGCCTTCAGCAAAAACATCCCCTCTCTCTCACGCTGCCATTCTCCCAGTGGCTTCTGTGTGTCTTCGCTTTGTAACGTTCAAGTTGCAGCAAGTTGCTCGTCTATGAAATGGGAACAATGGGAACTTCCTAAGGCTGCCGTGAGAATTTTCGGTGGCGATACATGTAAAGTGCTACTCGTCTTACAGGGCATATGACGCAGGCTACTTGTCACTTGGCCGCCCAGCGTATGCTAAACGACTTCCATGCTCCTCACCAGCCCTTGTTTCTCCAAGGCCAATGGTACAAGAATGGTCCAATGAAAAAGCACAGGCTTTGGGGTTAGAACTGTCAAGGACCCGAAACAGAAAAATCTTGATTTTACAGTGATATGA